AGTGGCTGAAAGATTATTTTTTATAATACCAAGCGACGCGACGAACAAGTCGTGCACCTCACCAGGCGACATGCCTATTCATAACAGTTGCAGTGCCACTCAGAGATTTAAATCGCAAAGATCTTACTTAGGGGCACTTTCACTGCGCCCGTCACCGTGAGTCATAAGTTGACAAATTCCTTGTGCCTATAATTTCGTCAGCATCCTTACGAGGGTGAATTTCACTTTCCGAATTTCAATGGCACTTTTGAGTGATTTTTGTAAAACCCTTTTTTCTGGTTTTAAGGTCTTAAACGTACAAATGAGTTCAAGCAATCTCAATAATTATAAAATCACAGAAATACTTATGTTAAATACAACAAAAAAGAACCGATATTTTAGGTCACATGAATGAGATTGCAGTAACACGAATGATTTTCTCATAAACATAAATGAGAAAGACGGCACAGTAATGAGAAATTATTATTACAACATACATTTTATCGTTCACAAAAGAACATGTAACAACATTTAACAAATTATATAAATATTTAACATGTAACAAATATTTTAATATAACTTCTTGTATCAAAACTCTTCTCATCCGTGTAAATACATCTATCTATCTATATGGAATTAATAAATAAATCTAAATAAGTATTTTGTTAATGTCACATAAACTTTGTTGTACATCAATATATCATCATCACCACCATCAACATCATCATCATGATCACTATTACCATCAGCATCATTACCATTCACATCATCATCACAATCATGTCATCATCACCACCATCACCATCTAATTGTTATATTTCAAGTAAATATTTGTCTTAAAGTAACTATTTGACTTAAAAGTAGACAAGAATGAGAGCGATAATAATGATATTTGGATACATTTTTAATTGTCAAGTGTATAAAATATGCTGGACCGTTATAAAAGTTCGTGTATTTTAAAGTTCCCTTTATCTAATTAATGTACAAAGTTTATAAAACTATTACTTAATACTTACTTAGATGGATTGCTTTACATGAATGAGAACGATATATATTTTGCTAAAACGGAGATGCACAGGTTACTTCACTGTATACACTGAAGTGAAGGTGATGCGGTATGAACTTTTGTTATTAGGAGGCTTTTAGTTGAATTGACACTAATGATAAGAAAAATTGAAACACATTTTGTATTCCCAAGAAAACATGTTTGTTTATAATAAATTAGAAACTTACGGTATGTATTCGACGTGTAAGTTAT